GACAATTGTTGCTCACCACCAGAGTATTGAGTGAAAAAATAATGACTACATTGTATTGCTTTGAGAAACCTTTGCCGTTATTATAAATGTATACATTTTTAATGTGTATTCTATCAGGCATTTAAATGTAAAATAACATTAATGTATAATTATCGTGTTGCTGTTTTGTCTTTTCTCCCAGATGTTTTTTCTCAATCAACCCGGAGAGGGGAACTAAAGTGGAGAGGAAAAGCAAGCGCCTCACTGTGAATCCTCGAGTCCTCACCCTGATCCAAGAACTGTCCGATCACGAGTGGCGTGAATCCTGAATATGGACTGAACACAAACTCTTTAAACTCTGTGGACCTAATGACCGTTTGTTAGAGAAAAGGAATTGTGAGTTTGCCTTTTGTTTCATTCACAATGTGTTTAGCATGATCTCTGTTGTTTATCCAAACTGTTAAAAAATTTGCCAGGCTTTCAGGCCAAGCCATTCAAAAGATATCGTAGATCTGTTTTAAGAATATTTGGAATCAAGAAAGTTGTTCATTTCCTGAGTTACACCTCCTTTTTGCACCATTATCCAGCACTGTTTTTTGAAAAATGTGGTCCCGTGATAAGATTGTGGAAGATCCGTTTTGAAATCTGGCACAGATATTTTAAAAGATCTGCCAGACAGTCCTTTTGTTGATTTTATAACCTTGAATGTACTCATAGTTCTGTTTTTGAATTTAGAAAAAAAAGTCTACCTTATACTGGTAGGGCTGGGTACCTTAAAAATGTTTTAACTGGTGCTTAAACAATAACTTTGTTTTAATACCTGTGCTATCTAAAATTGTACCATAGATTAGAACAATTGTTAATTTATGACAAAATAGTTTTTACTTTCGATCATTTATTTGAGCTTTAATAACCAAGTAGCTTTCTTCAGTGTCGTCTTAGGACCAAACGGGGTCATGACACGATCTAAAAATCTTTTTTCTTTAGCAAGATTTTGATACTTTTAAAAATATACGTATTATACCAGTAGTACCTTTTTTTTTTTTTATACTATACTGGTACCATTTAAATTCACCCAGCCATAATTACTGGTATAAAATATTTGCATGCTATCATTGGTTCTCACTATGTGCAATTTGCAACTACAACCACAACTGCCAAGAAATGTTAAAGTGATCAGCAGGTAAATAAATTGTTCAAAGGAATTTTACTTTGTCTTCTTTAAAAATGCATTTAATATAGGATGCATGTCTAGGTATATTATCATTTGCACAATGGACAGGGTATGTTAAAATTACAATGATATAATGCTAATTTATTTACAAGTTTAAAATGTAGCTTTAACATTGTCTCTTGGTTAGTAAAACACAAACATGCAGTAGAGTATCACTAAAGTTTACGTATATTATACTGAATAATTTATTTAAAATAACCAATTTAAACCGTGGTTTGAACACTTCAAAATCATTTTTTGTAGGATAATATTCAGTAACTTTTACCATTTTCTAATGCGAAATATACATTTAATAGATGTAAAACGTACTGAAAAAAAATGTTTTTAAATACAAGAGGGTCATGTTAAATTAACAATAAAGTTTGGTAGACTTAACAGATTTTTTTATGTGATTTAGCCGTGATTTCAAATACTGTAAATGTATTTACATAGATTTTCAGTAATTTACTTTACAGTGCAACTGTATTTTTTACGGAAATGTTCTGGTAACAAAAGTTGCCAGAATTTTTCCGTAAAATCGACGGATTTTTTTTTACAGTGTAGAGTTTACCTCATCAGTGCAAGGCGAGCCTGGCCTGACCGCGCTCTCCTCCTCTGGGACCTATGGGCCCGGGCCTCTGGCTCCTCTACCTCACAAAGTTCACGCTGAACTTTCTTAAAATTAAAATGAAAAAGGCTGCTCTGTTGTGAATGCTTTGAGAGCGTTGTCAATCTTTAAGACGAGGAATAGCTGGTTGTTCTCGCTTCACGCTGTGTAATATGATATTGGACAAAATTGTTCAGCCAATAAACAGGACTTGAAGCAACGTAGGAACGTGATGACGCTCAGGGGGTTATATTATTATTATTATTCCCCCCACTGTAGGAGCCAATACACTTTTCAATATTTTTGAATTCTGAGCGTTTCCAATTGTATTTAAAAATGGGAAACCTAATTAAACAATCATGAATTGAGCTTTTCCGATCTTATTTTACACTGATTCCTTTGATCATTTTTTTCTTAAAGCTCAAGTTGTAAAAATGCTATGTTTGAATTGGTTATTTACATTTTAACTGTGAGTGACACGTAAGGCGGGACAACAATGCACAATGACGCACGCATTCTGAATAGAATAATATGTATTAATATCTCTAAAACTAAAAGAGCATATTCAAGTTTTACAACAAAAACGACGTCATATGCGTGTCCATTATGCGTAAAAGCACAGTGCCCTCAGCAAAACCACGTATTTGGAAAAACTATAGGCTAACAGATGTAGTAGCTCTAGTTTCAATCGTCCTCATTTTATTCAGTCAGACTTGTCAAATATAGATGCCCATGGGAGAGTGAGCAAGGGGAGATAACATGCCCATAACATGCCCAAAAATATCCTGCATAGACTCAAGCTGCGATCAGCTGAAATATGAGCACACAAAGAGCGAGAGGGAAAAAGAAAAGTAAATAGGCTTAGGCTAGTTAGTATTTTTTCTCTCACAAAAGTTGGCGCGGATCATATGCCATCTTTCGTGGAGGAGGAAACATCAAACATCAAAGGGCGCACGCGGGGAACAGCGGGACTAGTCTCGTTGTTGAAGTCCCGATGTTCCCCCACTTCTATAGGCGGGGGAACATCGGACCCGGGGAACATCGGTACGCACCCGAGTGCGGCATTTAGCATTTAGCCTAGCTTTAGCATGTAGCCTAGCTTAAGCATGTAGCCTAGTTTCAGCCATCTCCTTTGCCACTAACGGAGCCCGTGGGGAGTAGAGCCACAACATCTTTGCCTCAATGACATTTACTAAACATTCCTCTTGCTCCGGCTTCAGTTTCCGTTATATTTGGATTGAACCAGAACAGATTATTTTACTATCACATTCTCCGACAAACTACAACCAGCAAATTCAGCACAAACTCTTGACGTCATCGACACCGACCTACAACACCCGCCTCCCCCGCTCTCTGATTGGTCGGAGAGGATTCAACCGAAGAAACTGCAGCCACTAGGATCAGACCCAGACGTACATGTAGGAAATGACCATGGACCAGAGTTTACACATGGTAAGACCAGACGTACATGTAGGAAATGATCATGGACCAGAGTTTACACATGGTAAGACCAGACGTACATGTAGGAAATGATCATGGACCAGAGTTTACACATGGTAAGACCAGACGTACATGTAGGAGATGACCATGGACCAGAGTTTACACATGGTAAGACCAGACGTACATGTAGGAAATGATCATGGACCAGAGTTTACACATGGTAAGACCAGACGTACATGTAGGAAATGATCATGGACCAGAGTTTACACATGGTAAGACCAGGCTAGTTTTGAACTGCTCCTGTGTAAAAACCACACATAAACATTTCCTACCGACTTAATCATGTCTAATTGATTCCATTTGCAGGTTGTACGAACACTTTTCCTCGAGGACAGATGGAGACTTTGGCTCTTTTACCGCGAACAGATTTCCTGCTCCCGTCGCTTCAGTTACACCTGTCACCAGCCATATGCTTTTTTCAATTTACTGTCGCAGCTGAGGCTTCACACATCACACACATCCACAGGGAACGGACTCAGCACAATACAACATACACTCTGACAGAAAACACATTTGCGTCAATTTAGATTTCCCGACGCCTACCCACAGATATATCAGTGATTTAAAATAGGCTCTCAATATATGGAGTAATTTACTTTTGCTTTTTGAACCATACATTGACATAAACATACTGAGAGGACTTTTTAATAATTCAGATCAAGCTGTAATTAATGCAGAAATAAACTGAAAATGTCATTAAATAGTCTTGGTTAAGGGCAAATGTACAGTATTTTAAAAACCCTATAGTCACAGACCTTTCGGGAGCTAAATAACTGACTTAGACTTTATTAATCCACAAGGGAAATGGCATTGTCACAGAAGCTTGTTGCATAGTATTTCACAATAAAAAAATAAAATTAAAATAACAATCTGAGAATAATAATGAGATGATATTGTGGAAAAACTAAACATCTGATTGACATACTGAAAGAATAATATGTATCAAAAATATGAGAATTTCCTCATCATATGGAACAGGACCACTTGAGGGCACCAGAGCGGGCATTATTTAGTATTCTACACACATAGGTTCATAGCTCACTGCTATACTGTCATTAAGAGAAAGATAGATACACAGATAGACAGACAGATAGATAGATAGATAGATAGATAGATAGATACATAGACAGACAGACAGACAGACAGACAGATAGATAGATACACAGACAGACAGATACACAGACAGACAGACAGATACACAGACAGATAGATAGATTCACAGACAGACAGACAGATAGATAGATAGATACACAGACAGACAGACAGATAGACAGACAGATAGATAGATACACAGACAGACAGATATAGATAGATAGATAGATAGATAGATACACAGACAGACAGATAGACAGACAGATAGATAGATACACAGACAGACAGATATAGATAGATAGATAGATACACAGACAGACAGACAGATAAATAGATACACAGACAGATAGATAGATAGACATTTTCGTGATCTTTTTCATAAAATTGATCCAAATGTAACACATCAGTGCAGTTTAGATAACACAAACAGAGACTGGTCATTAGCGGCAGAGGAGAGGGTTGTGATGAAGAGGGTTGTGATGAAGAGGAACAAGGGTGTTGTTTGTTTTGCTCACAGGGACGTGCTGCTGCTGCTGGTTCTACAGTTCATGCTAATCAGCCTCGGAACAGCCCACCTTTGATCTGGACGGACATCTTAAGTCCCTCTCTTCAGATGTCTCTGGCCAAGTCCTCCAACATCTGCTTCAACTGTGGGGATTAATAAGATGGAAGTTCAATCCGTCTGTGTAATTGTTCCAGTATAAACAAAATACATAACATTTGATCTTGGGCTGTGGTTCTCAATAAGTTACAGAATAATCTTTTCATTTTTTTTTGAAATAGAAAAAATGTAGTATTGACTGTTGAACCAATTTCAATGTTCACTCCCATTCTACTGCAGGCTCAAGGCAAGTTTATGTGTATAAAACAAGTCATACATACAGTAAGTGCTGAACAAAACAAGACAGCATTAAAATCATGAATAAATCACAGTACGTTAAAAAGAAAGATAAAAATATGAAATCTCTCAGTTGTAGCAGCAAAACAAAACTGTTTTTAACCTGGCTTTAAACATAGTCAGAGAAGAAGCCTGTCTCACTTTTTTTTATATTAAAAAGTTAATCAATATGACCAACTCCCTGAGAGGAAAACAAAAACAAAAACTTCAAGATTTGTTGTGCAATGAAAATACGTGTATACTTGTGTTCTTTCACTTGTGTTTGTCAGTAGTGATGTCTGGAGTCTCACCTCTGGCCACGTGATCGCTCCTCTCAGCTTCTCACCCTCAGTCACAAATATGGTTTGTTCTCTGCTCACACTCAGGATTCTGTACACCTGCAACAACACACCATCAGCCCAACCATCTGCAACACCACAGGACCATGGGAAAGTAGGTTGTGTGGATGTAGGATCTAGTAATAATGCTAATAATAATAATTCATTGGTTTTATACAGCGCTTTTCTGGACCCTCAAAGTCTCTTCACATCATCATTCTTTCACTTCATTTACAGTGGGGACAAACTACTACTGTAGCCACAGCTGCCCTGGGGCACACTGACAGAAGCGAGGCAACCAGTCTGTGCCATCAGCCCCTCCCACCACCACCAACCATCCACACACACACCAGACTCATTCTAATGTGGGGGAAGTGTCTTGACTAAGGACACAACCACAGTTTGGCACTTTACAGCCGCAGCCTGCAACAGTGGCTGCGGCTGGTGTTCCCAGAGGTCTCCCATCACAGTACTAACCAGGCGCTGCCCTGCTTACCTTCAGAGGTCTAACCCGCATTCTCTAAAGTTTTGTAAGATACTGAATGTTCTATTTGTACAAGCCGCAGAGGATCATAATCTGCATCTGTTTTGATGTAGAAAAATGTTGCTAAAAATCATTCCTTATGTTCTTATTTAGTAGTAAGTCATGTTTATTTATAAAGCGCCTTTCACAGACCAGAGTCACAAAGCGGTTTACAATTGTGGGCATTAGGCCCTGTTTATACTGAGACGCTGCGCAGACGTTTCCAGGCTATTAACAGAAACGACCTGGCTCCTAATGCAAATTTCTCAGCGTTCACATGAGGTTGAAAAACGATGTAGTTCTAGCGCCCGGCCAGTAGGGGGCAGAGAAACTTTACAACACTCACACGACCCCGAGCCCCGTGCCCAGCCCCCCTCTCGGCAGTGTACTCACTTCCTGTGCCAGACCCTCAGAAAGTACCAACATCATTCTGCCTTTTAACAGCAGCTGTGAAAATGGGAACTGAACCTAAAGCTTCGCGTGGTCTCGTTTGGACGAACGAAGGAGTCGAATTATCCTCTGTCCCGCGCTGGAAGCCCACGTAGCTAGTTTGTGTGGGCAGCGCCATTTTTGTTGATGTTTGTTCTCCGCTACTGCGCATGTCCAAATTTACGTGCGGGGAGCAGATCGGAGGTGGGGGTCAGAGCAGAGGGGGATTTCACACCTTTCCCCTCTCGCGGGTGTGAAAGAGAGCCCCCGCTGTGCAGCGTTTCTGAGTTGTCCCACTCTGCAGGCTGGATCTGAACACTTACGTTTTCACCCCCCTGGAACACAGTCTTCGTATGAACGGTTGGTAGCAACCGACATCCAACTATACCGTTTTACTGCCACATTGTCTCCGTGTAAACTCAGCCTAAGTCTCTCGCTCCACACAGAGATGGGAGCGGGGCCAGTACAGGAGGCACAGACCCATTGTGCATATTTTTAATGGAAGGGGAAACCGAAGTACCCGGAGGAAACCAAATTCCACTCAGAAACGTTTTAGTTTACATTGAGTTCTATGGGGAAAAGCCCAGGTGAACTTAGTCTGGTTTAGTCTGCTGTACTGCGAGAGTCCCCCGGGGCACATGGTCCTTCAGCTCTAAGCTATTAATACCCTCTCCACATATTATAACTAGGGATGTACCGAATCCAGGTTTTTGGGGTTCGGCCGAATACCGAATCCACTGGTTAAGATTCTGCCGAATCCGAACCCGAATACTGAATCCTATTCCATCCTCAGTCCATTTATGTTTTATACACAAATGTTTTAACAGCAGCGGTGTTGTGTACTGTTTAGGGTCCTTACCACCACGAGACAAATCGGCATTGCAAATTAAACATTAGCTCGACCAGAATCTATTATTATAACATTTATAATAATCCCGTTTATCATTAAACACAAATACATTCAGTTCACAGCAGTGTAAAACTTCAGTGATAAAGTACATATATTACTGTGCATGTCATGTAGAAATAAGAGCTAAAGTACCACACATGCATAAATAGCTTCCACTGGTTCAGGTATATGGACATTTGAGAAATATGCCAAACTCGTCAGAGACAAGTTGAGAGAAGCTAATGCTAAGCAGTGATGAGAATAACGCCGTTACTAGTAACGGCGTTACTAACGTTGTTACTTTTTTCAGTAACGAGTAATCTAACTAATTACTTTGATTGTAACTATAACGCCGTTATCATTTCCGACATCCCGTTACTGCGCGTTACTAAAGAAGCACAATGAACTTCTCTTTTTCAACTTCAACGATGAGTCCGCCTACAGGAGGGAGGTGGACCGGCTGGTGTCCTGGTGCAGTGGTAACAACCTGGAGCTGAACGCCCAGAAGACAGTGGAGATGATTGTGGACTTCAGGAAGAGCACTGTCCCCCCGCCCCCACCCTCCGTGATGGACTCCCCCATCACCTCTGTGGAGTCCTTCCGTTTCCTGGGCACCACCATCACCCAGGACCTCAAGTGGGAGCCGACCATCAGCTCCCTCATCAAGAAGGCCCAGCAGAGGATGTACTTCCTGCGGCAGCTCAGGAAAGCCAAGCTGCCTGCACAGATGTTGGTGCAGTTCTACACGGCCATCATCGAGTCCATCCTCACCTCCTCCATCACCGTGTGGTTCGCTGGAGCCACAGTCAGGGACAAACAGAGACTACAGCGCATTGTGCGCTCTGCAGAGGAAGTGATCGGCCGCAGCCTTCCATCGCTGCAGGACCTGTACGTCGCCCGAGCTCGAGGCCGGGCTGGTCGTATCACAGCCGACCCCTCTCACCCTGCACATGGACTATTCCAACCACTCCCCTCAGGCAGGAGGCTGCGGTCCATCAGGACTAGAAACCTCCCGCCACAAGAACAGTTTCTTCCCCTCTGCTGTTGGACTCTTGAACACTTCTTAACCTGTCCCCCCGCCCTTTATAAAGTCACTTTACTGCCCATCATACGTCACTTTACTTCACTGTACTGCTGTCACCTTACATTGTGTGCACCATGTGCACTTGTATATTGTAAATAGTAACTGTAACTCTATTTTAAATTTAAATTTATTCTTTAGAAGTGTTTTTTATTCTTATTTTTATTATCTCTTTTTGACTGTTGCACTGAGCCAAAGCAATTTCCAAGTCTGTGACCTCCCGTTACTTACGTTGGCAATAAAAATGATTCTGATTCTGATTCTGATTCTGATTTTTACTTCGTGATAGGACTTGTGTACGTGTTGTCATGAGAGAAGGGAGGATGAGAAAACCTCTCAGCAATTATTGGCTGATGTAAAACATATTTCCTTTACAATCCACATGTCTACAGTTGAGAGGATGGCTCATAAATTGTGTTTTTGAAACAAATATGGGTCTTAATCGCGCTCAACCACGGCTTGTATCACCGTGAGGCCTCAGGGGAGCGCATGTGAGCGCAGAAGTCGGCTGCATACAATTCCATCGAAAGGCTCCTTTCTCCTCCTGGTTTATCTGCTAAGGACAGCAACAGGTTTGGCTAACATACATATAACACATTTTAAGATAATTTAAAATGCACTTAGGGTAATTTTTTAATGACTATAGGAATAATAAGAAAGAAAGGTGAAATGTAAGACGGTTGATTTTAGAAATTGGATGCACCCGGCTGCAGCAAAACAGAGGAGTTTATGAGGACACACGCGTTTTGTTTTACTTTTTAAAACTCATTGGACTCATTTCCAATTGGATGATTAACGCTACATATCTGTCGTTCAAACTATTATCTGGACTTAAACAAGGAACTGGTCTGAACCGAAGTGGCCTGTGCAGGTCATTTATAAGGTATAGCTATAAGGTAAGACCCATAACTCATAGTTTTGCGTTTTGTATGAACAAACAATGCGGGCATAAAACATATTCTGCTGTAGCCAAACAAATGGTCCAGTTGATTTATATGATATATATGTTCATCTGATTGGGCTGAAGTCAGTGCTTCACCGGTGTTTCCACATTCACAGTGGCGGGTGTTGGTGTTTAGTGCTTACAGCACAGAGAGAGATGAAGAGTGAACAGGACTTAAGCAGCAAAACAGACTTTTCTAGATGGAAATATTGGCACTATTTCAGACTCACTGAGGTTAAAGGTAAAACTACACACGTCGAATGCACATTATGTTCCAGAACAAAACGAAAAAGTAACGCAATAGTTACTTTTACTAGTAACTAGTTACTTTTATAGTGGAGTAACTCCGTTAGTAACTCAGTTACTTTTTGGGAGAAGTAACTAGTAACTATAACTAATTACTTTTTCAAAGTAACGTGCCCAACACTGATGCTAAGAGGCTAGTTGCCTAAACATGGACTCACCAACTCTGCTTCTACGGTCATACGCAGCTCAGATGACAAGTACCTGGCACTGGTAATCGGCTCCATAAAGTTCGTGAATAGGCAGTTAGTTTATGATCCATCAGAACCGCATTACAGGTGAAAACAAGAATCATAACATCCCCTCGCACCGACAAATAACTAGAGCTAATTGGTCCGCGGGGATCACATGACCAGGAAGAGACCTCAGCGCACCCAAAGAGGAACAGGGAGCAAGAGGATATAAACCTCCGCTAAAGTGCATGTTTATTTACACTTCCGAACGAATCTGATTTCCGTGACGAATGCAACAGCCACAGCGCGCATAGTGTAAGTGCGGGGTTTGGGTTCGGTGGGGAAAAATTATAAGGTTCGGCCAGAAACCGAACCCCGTCAAAAAAGCCAATATTCGGCCGAATCCGAACCCAAATCCTGGATTTGGTACATCCCTAATTATAACATAAAATCAATGTGAACAACACATCAGCAATCATGCAAAGTAGAAAGGAGATTACCAAATAAAATCCCCAAAAGAGTGTATTAGTGTGTAAAAGTGTGCAAAGTGAGTAAAAGTGTGTATAAGGATGTAAAAGTGTATAAAGTGTGTAAGTGTGTACTAGTGTGTATAGTGTGTTAAAGTGTGTATAAGTGTGTAAGGCCATGCAAGGCAAGTTTATTTGTATAGCACAATTCATACACAAGGCAACTCAAAGTGCTGAACAAGAATAAGAAAGCATTAAAATCATAAATAATCACAGTGCATAAGTGTGTATAAGTGTGTATAGTGTGTAAAGTGTGTATAGTGTGTAAAGTGTGTAACGTGAGTAAATGTGTGTATAAGTGTGTAAAGTGTGTAAAGTGAGTAAAAGTGTGTATAAGGATGTAAAAGTGTGTAAATGTGTGTATAAGTGTGTATAAGTGTGTGAATGTGTGTAGAAGTGTGTATAAATGTGTAAAGTGTGTATAAGGGTGTAAAAGGGTGTAAAAGGGTGTAAAAGTGTGTATAAGTGTGTAAAAGTGTGTAAAAGTGTGTAAAAGTGTGTATAAGTGTGTATAAGTGTGTATAAGTGTGTAAAGTGTGTAAAAGTGTGTAGAAGTGTGTAAAAGTGTGTAAAAGTGTGTAAAGTGTGTATAAGTGTGTATAAGTGTGTATAGTGTGTATTAGTGTGTATAAGGGCGGCACGGTGGCTGAGTGGATAGCACTCTCGCCTCTCAGCAAGAAGGTCCTGGGTTCGAATCCCGGTCGGACCAGGGCCTTTCTGAGTGGAGTTTGCATGTTCTCCCCGTGTCTGCGTAGGTTTCCTCCGGGTACTCCGGTTTCCCCTACCACTAAAAATATGTCCAATAGTTCTGGCATGCGCCTCCTGTACTGGCGACCCCGCTCCCATCTCTGTGTGGAGTGAGAGACAAATGCCCAAAAATTAACAATTGTAAACCGCTTTGAGACTCAGATCTGCAGTGAAAATGCGGTATATAAATAAAAACTTACTTACTTACTTACATAAGTGAGTAAAAGTGTGTACCTGCTGCACGGAGCTGTGGGGCCCCAGCAGGACTGTGGGCCTCTGGATCTGACAAACCTCTCCCACACATTTATCTACATTCTGAAAAAAGGAAAACAAACGTCACATATTTCCACAAACAGGAAGCTGCTTCTACGTTTAAGATATACTTCCACATTTTCATAAAGATATTAATCAAAGGTATACATGAGGATATTCTGCTTCCATGTGGATCTTCAAGACTATTGGTCCTGCTAACTGTCAATCATTCTGGTGATACGTGCTCGTCCAATAAGAGCAGACACACACAAAACATGACACACAACACACAACACATGACTTGTTATTGTTTTCATTTCAATGTCCCGCCCTCCACCGTTTCACCAATCAGAAAGTCTGTAGGCGCTAATCTCACTGGTAAAGTACCATGTGGCGCAGAACTAAAAAAGGTCTTGTTCTGATTCTCAAATCATTAACGACAAAACAAGGAATAAAACCAGGATTTCTATCTTTGTGAAAAAGGTGTTGGTTATAGATTTGTTGTTGACAAAACTCTTGGCTATTCAGCTGTTATGGTCCCAGCTGGATTCGTCTGCATATCTGGCAACCTGAGTCAGGGAGAGTGGGAGAGGCTGCAGTACCACTTTTGGACAGATTTTACATACTTCTCCTTTAACTAAAATTGGGAGGGTGGAGGGGCTGTTTGTCCTCCACCTATCCATGAATGACTGTAAAATGTGAAATATAAAAAATTCTCCAAAAATTGAAAATTGGGTTTTATGAAAATGAATAATAGTTATATAATACTGAATGTGATGGAGGTTTAATGTTTACTCATACAAAGTTGTTCTGTATTTACTAGTGGGACATATTTCAGCTCAAATAGAAAAGTTTAGAGAGTGGTATTGGATCGGTGCGTCCCTAATTTTCATCTTTCCAAAAAAAAAAAACAACCTGTATTTTTAACTTCATAGACATTTACCTGGTCTTGAATGACAAACTCCTGCAGCTCATGGCGCGGCACGTATCCCAGAAAGCACAGTGACTCTTCAAAACAACAGAGACATGAGAGATGTTAGAGACTGAGGCCGGAGCAGGCAGATCCTCCTCCTCTGCTCTTTTCACTCTGCTCAATTGCTGAGGTCTTTCAGAATGGAGAACAATTTTCCTCTTTTCTGTCTTTCTGTCATCATTTTCCGTCTGATGGAGCCTCTAATGACATCATAAAGAGGCATGGACTTTGAGAGACCGTCAGGAGATGAAGAAATGTGACTTTTATATGTGCTGATGGGGTGACAGTGGCTCAGTTGGTAGAGCATCAGCCTTTGAGCCTTTTTTTGTGGCTTTGATCCTCACGCGAGACCTTCTCCACCAACTCCCACTGATGTCTGCTGTCGTTGTGTCATTGGGCAAGACACTTAACCCCACTTTGCCTGAAGCCCCAGCTGAAAGATCAAGGCTGTGACGTCATTGACAGAGCAGCCTCCTGTGGACTCAGCAGCTGCAGGAGGATCAGGAGGGGCTGGTCCAGGTCTGACTGCCACCCACGACCCAGAAATTGATAAAGAAAGCCTGGTCTTACCACACCATGGTACTCATTTCATTCTGTACTAAGGTCTGGATTTGCTCCATTGACTCCGATAACAGGTGAGAGGGGCCAACTCCTTTTGCAGATTGAAATGATTGGATCTGAGTTTACCGTGACGTATGTAATGCTCCCGAGTGAGTCGTTAGCATTTAGTATATAGCCTAGCTTTAGCATGTAGCCTAGCTTTAGCCATCTTCTTTGCCACTAACGGAGCCCGTGGGGAGTAGAGCCACAAGATCTTTGCTTCAATGACATTTACTAAACATTCTTCTTGCTCCGGCTTCAGTTTCTTGATATTTGGATTGAACCAGAACAGATTATTTTACTATCGGATTCTCCGACAAACTACAACTGGGACTCTGAGGAGCACAGGGACTGGCCTCTTGCTGGTCCCAGAGTCAGGACTAAACATGGGGAGGCTGCATTTCAGATTCACGCTTCTAATATCTGGAGCAATCTTCCTGAAAAATGTGAGACAAGCTTCTTCTCTGACAACGTTTAAATCCAGGTTAAAAACAGTTCTGTTTCTGCAAAAACTGAGGGATTTTATGTTCTTTTTCTTGTACTGTGATTATTTATGATGTTAATTCCTTGAGTGGCTGTTTCTATCTTTGAGTCTCCTTGTGTATGAATGGCGCTATATATATAAACTTGCCTTGTTTGGGCAGGTATGAGTGTGTGAGAGGATGATAGTGCCGTGGATGCTCTCACCGTCAGACTCCACCACTGGGACCAGCGCCTGAGAGCTGGACCTGACAGCGGTCTGGACCTGGGCCTGTCCGTCTGCCCTGTGGACCAGCACTGACGGAGCCCTCAGCATCTGTCCGACCGGAGCCAGACCGAGGCTGACACACAACACACGATACACAACACATGACACATTACACACAACACACGATACACAACACATGACACATTACACACAACACACGATACACATGACACACAACACATGACACCTGACATATGACGTTTACCGTAAGTAACAGCATAAAGGGGCCACTCGCTTTTAATGTGTGGACCACTTTACCCCGACAGAAAAAAGCCGGACTACTTTACGTTTTCTATGAAGTAAGAATAAATTATTCGCAGATCGGGGCCAGAGGTGAGTCTGACCAAAGTCTGTGGTCATCCCAGGTCTCATCTGGGCTTTGGATTTGCTCAGTTCGGTCTCATATACTTATTTTTAGCTTGTCTTTATATCTCCTCTGATCTTCTTGCGTTAAAGTGCTTATACACAGTGTGCCGCTCTGTCTTCTGGTCACCACGGATGTAAACAAAGATCCTCCTACAGCTGAGACAGGGGTGTCCACAGTATGGGGATGATCCAGGACATTTAAGGACATTTATGGACATTTTTTACTTTTGTGGACATTGGTAATCTTCCCTCAATGTACAAATGTCTCCTGTGTGTTTGTTATTATGGCCTTTCATGTACAAACTGGTTATCGGCTGTTGTCTGTGGCTCTATCGCATGTTTTCTTTGAGCAGATTATGATGATGTAAATGTTCTACTGAATAATAAAACATTGACAGCTCTAAAGGCTGATTTCCCCAGATTCAAAATCCACTCTCAAACGCTGCTGAGAGAACGACTTATTCATTCCACTGCAATTTCCACTCAGAGATGAGACTGAGCGATACAAGCAAAGGAACTGCCTGTGCTTTTCTACTGAGGATATTAGCATAAACACCAAGATTACACACTCTGTTCTTATGCTCAGAACTCCATCTGAGCCCCGGGGGGTCCACCTCTGTCCACCTGTGTCCACCTCTGTCCACCTGTGTCTGTGTCTGTGTCTGACGTCAGTTGGTGTGTGTGACGTCAGTTGGTGTGTGTGACGTCATTTGTTGTGCGTGACGTCAGTTGGTGTGTGTGACGTCAGTTGGTGTGTGTGACGTCAGTTGGTGTGTGTGACATCAGTTGGTGTGTGTGACGTCACTTGGTGTGTGTCACGTCACTTGGTGTGTGTGACGTCACTTGGTGTGTGTGACGTCACTTGGTGTGTGTGACGTCACTTGGTGTGTGTGACGCTAGTTGGTGTGTGTGACGTCACTTGGTGTGTGTGACGTCACTTGGTGTGTGTGGCGCTAGTTGGTGTGTGTGACGTCAGTTTGTGTGTGTGACATCAGTTGGTGTGTGTGACATCACTTGGTGTGTGTGACGTCAGTTGGTGTGTGTGACGTCACTTGGTGTGTGTGACGTCAGTTGGTGTGTGCGTGACGTCAGTTGGTGTGTGTGACGTCACTTGGTGTGTGTGACGTCACTTGGTGTGTGTGACGCTAGTTGGTGTGTGTGACGTCAGTTGGTGTGTGTGACATCAGTTGGCGTGTGTGACGTCACTTGGTGTGTGTGACGTCACTTGGTGTGTGTGACGTCAGTTGGTGTGTGTGTGACGTCACTTGGTGTGTGTGACGTCAGTTGGTGTGTGTGTGACGTCAGTTGGAGTGTGCAACGCCCTTTTTAGAGAAAATGTTCATGTGGGCGGAGTCAGGCTGAGCACAGGTGTTTAGTCGCTCTTTAACTACATTTTGAGGACATAATTACCCTGTTAACTGTAGCTTTACCTGGGGGAGACCTTCTTCAGCGAGGGAAGATGAGGCAATCTCTTACTGATGGAAAGGTTGTCATAAAAAGATGGCCGCCTTCCTGCCCGGGACACCATGTTGGAGCACAGGGTGGATATGAAGATGGGCCCAGCGTGGGAGAACTGTCCCGTTAACTCCAGGGCCAGGAGGGCGGGGGACAGGCTGTGAGTGCAGGCTCCAGAGACGGCTGCAGCACCTGGAGGAAACATCCATGACACCAGCGAGTCACTGACACCTCCAGGTTTCACATTCTCATCTGAATGATGGGCACAGATTGAGTCACACCGTGCCGTCGTGTGAGTCACACACGACGGCACAGACATCGCATGAGTTTTACAAGTGGCACCATTTCTCGCGAACGGTAAAAGACAGAGATTTCATTGTTTTTCTGCGTGAAAAGGTTTCTGGTTTTCAGAAAATAGTATTTCTGTGTGACTGTTATGTTTGGGCACCTTTTTTTTTCACTTGGCTTTGTGTCTTGTGTTTTTCGTCGCAGTAGTTTTTTGGGTTTTATAATTTTTTGTAAGACTGTTTCTATAAGTATTTTTCCCAGGTTATTTTTTTAATAATGTTTTGATACTTTATGTACCCTATTGTGTATACTTTGCAGCTCGGGCTGGGAGTATAAGCATTACCAGGTTTTTGTTTTCTGGACACAGGTTTGAGTTTTTTTGGATGTATATTTAAAAAATCAAGGGAACATTCAACTACTTTCTTGTGGTATGCCAAAGGTTTTTGTCTGTCTTTGTGACTGTTATTACAAGCATTACATAAAACTGATCATTCTGAAAAGCTAACAATAGTAGTAATATAATACAACAGTCCTTCAGGTCACAGCAGCAGAGGTGGAGCCGCTTGGTTTGGATCATTTTCTCTGCTCTGGTCTGGACCAGTGTAAAACCATGAATCCTCTCTGCTCTGGTCTGGACCAGTGTAAAACCATGAATCCTCTCTGCTCTGGTCTGGACCAGTGTAAAACCATGAATCCTCTTTGCTCTGGTCTGGACCAGTGTAAAACCATGAATCCTCTTTGCTCTGGTCTGGACCAGTGTAAAACCATGAATCCTCTCTGCTCTGGTCTGGACCAGTGTAAAACCATGAACACTGAACTGCAGCAACATCTCCGGCAGAAAAAGGCAAGAAAAATAACATTTGTTAAAACACAAAACAACTGTTTCAGAGACACTTCAGACTCGCTGCCATTTTATAAACCCAGGTTACACCGAAAATATCAAAGTATACTGCTTGACTGTGCGAGACTAGATTACTTCTAAAATTGCCAATATTATTAAAACAATTCCAGGCGAGGTAAAAGCTCCAAAATACCCTTAGACTCTGTTCATGGATTTACATTGTCCTCTAATGGCTCATTCCATCACACACCAGGAAGACGACACCATGTTGTCTCTAAGCTCGTCTTCTTGGATCGTCTCACCTTTGCCAGTTCAAACACTGTTTTTGTGGACTGACAAAAACACCATTTATCTGAATCCTTTTCTCCGGCAACAGCGAGAATAGTGCGTCCACCCATTTCTTTCATTTTGTCTCATATTATGCTGTGAGTGGATGATGTACCTGCCAACGCGTACCCTCCTGGATTGACCTTCCAGCTTCTCTCTGATGTGACGTAAGCCAGACTCTCTCCGACGGTTCTGCCCAACACGGCTCCTGCATAAAAGCAAACAGCTCTATTTGTGCTCCATCAGAAACTAGCCCAGATTTCAAATGTGGTACCGTAGATAAAGACAGGCATGAAGTATCCCGCTGGTATGGGCACGGTGCAGGCGAGCAGCAGCATCCACATCTGAACACACAAATACATACACTTTTTATCCATTGTACATTCATTTGTGTGTCATTTGTGAGTATGTAGACCCCATGAAGAATAGCATTTTTCAGCAGCTAATGGGAATCTGAATAATGACAAACTGACAAACACATATGGATTCTCTTTTTATCTTTTTTTCTATATATACATTTTATCATTAGTCACCTCTTTCATCCCCTTTTACTATTCAATTTCTGGGTTGGGGAGGTGGCAATCAGAGCTCGGGGGCTTCGGGCAAAGTGGGGTTATGTGTCCTTAGGCAAGACACTTCCCCCACATTAGAATGAGTCTGGTGTGTGTGTGAATGGTTGGTGGTGGTGGGAGGGGCCGATCGCTTCTGTCGTTGTGCCCCAGGGCAGCTGTTAAGTGTCTTGCCCAGGGACACAACGACAGCAGACTTCAGAGAGAGCAGATGACATGGGCCGTGGGGGGATTGAACCCACGACTATTAGGTGCATCATAATAATAAATCGGTTTTAAACAGCATTTTTTTTTGTCACTCCAAACACAGAGATGATAACTACTACTGTGGCCACAGCTGCCCTGGGGCACACTGACAGAAGCGAGGCAACCAGTCTGTGCCATTGGCCCCTCCACAGTTTGGCACTTTACAGCCGCAGCCGCCCTACTGTGGCATCAGGTGTTCCCAGAGGTTAAGTGTCTTGCCCAAGGACACAACGACAGCAGGCATTAGAGGGAGTCGGTGGAGAAAGTCTTGTGGGGGGCTCGAACCCACAACCTACAGGCTCAAAGGCCAAGGTTCTACCAACTGAGCCACTGTCGCCCATGTTTTTTCAATCTCTTCTTATTCTATTTTTTTATTATTTGTTGTAATTATTGTTTTATGTCATCTTTTTCTTTGCATTATAATTGTTGCTTCGTTGCGTTTGGGAATTATGATATTTTGATAATTTCAGCTCAAGCAAAAAATAAAGTTTACAGAAATAAATCAAATTTATACGGTTTAAACGGACCACATTTAGTCAAAATACTATTCCTAAATAACCTCAGATGCAAAGAATGAGCCAAAAACAGTCTTTCCACCAAGAAATCAATGGACGCTTCGGTGTAAAAAATAATAATAAAAACTTTGCTGAAGGCCAGATTTAATTGTCAGATTGATAAAAATAGATATTTCAAAAGTAAATGATAAAATAGCCAAACAAAAGCATGGTTCTTTGAGTGTGTGTGCAGATTGAGTGATGTCACAGTCGGATCACACTCAGACCTTGAGGAGCAGGAAGACCAGCAGAGGCAGCAGCACAGGCAGCTCTGAGGAGGTCCAGTCCTCACAAGGCCCTGGCACCGGCACTGATGCATTCTGGGACGGGGACAGCCAGGACTCAGCGTGCAGAAGAGACGTGATCAGCTGCTTCATTGTGCACTGACCAAAAACAAAGAGAAGTTAAAGTAGAAATGTGTAAGATTTTCATGTCAAGTCATCATTAAAGGGCCCTAATCTGTCATCATTAAAGGGCCCTAATCTGTCATCATTAAAGGGCCCTAATCTGTCATCATTAAAGAGCCCTAATCTGTCATCATTAAAGGGCCCTAATCTGTAATAATTAAAGAGCCCTAACCTGTCCTCATTAAAGGGCCCTAATCTGTCCTCATTAAAGGGCCCTAATCTGTCATCATTAAAGGGCCCTAATCTGTCATAATTAAAGGGCCCTAATCTGTCGTCATTAAAGGGCCCTAATCTGTCGTCATTAAAGGGCCCTAATCTGTAATCATTAAAGAGCCCTAATCTGTCATCATTAAAGGGCCCTAATCTGTAATCATTAAAGGGCCTTAATCTGTCAAATTTAAAGGGCCTTAATCTGTCATCATTAAAGAGCCCTAATCTGTCCTCATTAAAGGGCCCTAATCTGTCATCATTAAAGGGCCCTAATCTGTCGTCATTAAAGGGCCCTGATTTGTCGTCATTAAAGGGCCCTAATCTGTCATCATTAAAAGGCCCTAATTTGTCATCATTAAAGGGCCCAAATCTGTTGTCATTAAAGGGCCCTTATCTGTCGTCATTAAAGGGGCCTAATCTTTCATCATTAAAGGGCCCTGATCTGTAATAATAAACTGCTCTTTTCCAATACTTCTTTAACTTACAACAGTAGTTCAGAGATATTTGCCCTCCACCATTTCACCAATCAGAAAGTCTGTTATCCGGGCGCCAGAACTCACTGCGTCAAGCTAATGCCACTGGTTATAGTACTATGTGGCGCAGAACTAAAAAAGGTCTTGTTATGATTCTCAAATCATTAACGACAAAACAAGGAATAAAACCAGGATTTCTATCTTTGTGAAAAAGGTGTTGGTTATAGATTTGTTGTTGACAAAACTCTTGTCTATTCAGCTGTTATGGTCCCAGCTGGATTCGTCTGCATATCTGGCAACCTGAGTCAGGGAGAGTGGGAGAGGCTGCAGTACCACTTTTGGACACATTTTTACAGACTGCTGCATTAATGTGAAATAAAAGCAAGAAACTCACTCCACATTTTGTCTTAAAAGAATCCACCAAGTCTATTATGTGTAAGTGTTAAATCCCAAAACACTTTCTCAGCAACTTTGACCAAAACAGATCATTCTTTACATTAACGTGAGATTTGTGTTTCTTGTGTGTGTCCCATGTGCTGTTGTGTACACAGAGACACAAAAGCAATTTAATGCCAAAATCTGTGAGGAAAATGTGATTTAGTGACGTTTGGACATCTTCCATCTCCCAACAGCATAAAAACAAATGAAATGGAATCTTTGACACAAATAACACAGGATGAGTCAATCTGTGTTTTCTTTTGAATTGTTCAGTATTGTTTGAATAAAGACACTACACAGTGTCATTTTGAGAGACCTGAGAAAGACCAGAGAGAGACCAGAGAAAGACCAGAGAGAGACCAGAGAGAGAGACCAGAGAGAGACCAGAGAAAGACTAGAGAGAGACCAGAGAGAGAGACCAGAGAAAGACCAGAGAAAGACTAGAGAGAGACTAGAGAGAGACCAGAGAGAGACCAGAGAGAGACCAGAGAAAGACTAGAGAGAGACTAGAGAGAGACCAGAGAGAGAGACCAGAGAAAGACTAGAGAGAGACTAGAGAGAGACCAGAGAGAGACCAGAGGGAGACCAGAGCAAGACCAGAGAGAGACCAGAGGTAGACCAGAGCAAGACCAGAGAGAGACCAGAGAGAAAGACCAGAGAGAGACCAGAGGGAGACCAGAGCAAGACCAGAGAGAGACCAGAGAGAGACCAGAGAGAGACCAGAGAGAGACCAGAGAGAGAGACCAGAGAGAGACCAGAGGGAGACCAGAGCAAGACCAGAGAGAGACCAGAGAGAGAGACCAGAGAGAGACCAGAGAGAGAGACCAGAGAGAGACCAGAGAAAGACCAGAGAGAGACCAGGGAGCATGTATCGGTGCATCCCTGGTGAATATTTGAATATAATATATTTTTAGATAAAATGACTTGTGGAGTTAATGAAGTTCAGTAAGTCCTTGTATGACAGACCCTACAGACCCTTTAGACCCTACAGACCCAACAGACTTTACAGACCCTTCAGACCCTTCAGACCCTACAGACTTTACAGACCCTACAGACCCTACAGACCCTTCAGACCCTTCAGACCCTACAGACCCTACAGACTTTACAGACCCTACAGACCCTACAGACCCTACAGACTTTACAGACCCCACAGACCCTACAGACTTTACAGACCCTACAGACTCTACGGACCCTACAGACTTTACAGACCCTACGGACCCCCATAAGGCTATTCTGAGGGAGATGTAGACTGTGCACATGGGGCATGATTGTGTCTGAAACGTGCACAGCATAAGTGGTCTTTAGGCTGTGGTTGAGGGGGAGGAGTCTCTTCTTTAGGCTGTGGTTGAGTGGGAGGAGTCTCTTCTTTAGGCTGTGGTTGAGGGGGAGGAGTCTCTTCTTTAGGCTGTGGTTGAGGGGGAGGAGTCTCTTCTTTAGGCTGTGGTTGAGGGGGAGGAGTCTCTTCTTTAGGCTGTGGTTGAGGGGGAGGAGTCTCTTCTTTAGGCTGTGGTTGAGGGGAGGAGTCTCATCTTGCTGTTACAGTTGTTGTTCTGACAGATTTCAGAGGTACCTTTGAGGCCATGAACCGTCCGGCAAAGTGAGGAAAGGTGACACACGCCAAAAGGAATCCCACTGCAGCAGAGTACAGCACTTTCCTGTGAAAACACATTTTCATCAAAGCAGACCTCTCTCTGGTGTCTCCCTGGTCTCGCTCTGTTCTCGCTCTGGTCTCTCTCTGGTCTCTCTCTGGTCTCTCTCTGGTCTCTCTCTGGTCTCTCTCTGGTCTCTCTCTGGTCTCTCTCTGGTCTCTCTCTGGTCTCTCTCTGGTCTCTCTCTGGTCTTTCTCTGGCCTCTCTATGGCCTCTTTCTGGTCTCTGGTCTCTCTTTGGCCTCTCTCTAGTCCCTCTCTGGTCCCTCTCTTTTCTCTCTCTCTGGTCTCTATAGACTCTCTCTGGCCTATCTCTTCTCTCTCACTCTCTCTCTGGTCTCTCTCTGGTCTCTCTCTGGTCCCTCTGTTCTCTCTCTGGTGTCTCCCTGGTCTGTCTCTGGTCTGGTGTCTCTTTCTGGTCTCTCTCTGGTCTCTCTCTGGTCTTCCTCTGGTGTCTCTTTCTGGTCTCTCTCTGGTCTCTCTCTGGTCTTTCTCAAGTATCTCTCTAGTCTCTCTGGCCTCTCTATGGCCTCTTTCTGGTCTCTGGTCTCTCTCTGGCCTCTCTCTCTGATCTCTCTCTGGTCTCTCTCTGGTCTCTCTCTGGTCTCTCTCTTTGGTCTCTCTCTGGTCTCTCTCTGGCCTCTCTCTGGCCTCTCTCTAGTTTCTCTGGTCTCTCTCTGGTCTCTCTCTGGCCTCTCTCTCTGATCTCTCTCTGGTCTCTCTCTGGTCTCTCTCTTTGGTCTCTCTCTGGTCTCTCTCTGGCCTCTCTCTGGCCTCTCTCTAGTTTCTCTGGTCTCTCTCTGGTCTCTCTCTGGTCTCTCTCTCTGATCTCTCTCTTGTCTCTCTCTAGTCTCTCTGGTCTCTCCTTTATTCCCACACTCTGTTCATGGTAAATGTTTGTATTTTTCTGACGTCTGCCTGTGTGACTCATCCAAAGCTTAGGGAGTGTGTGTGGTGAGTGTGGAGACAGGAGCCCTCACTCTGTCGTTAGCATCCGGACCAGGACGGGCTGAGTCCTGGTGAAGTGCAGCAGCCTGCGGTGGAGGCACAGATACAGGCAGCTCACGGCTCCACAGAGAAGTCTGCCTCCAACAAAGAAGATAATTTCAACTCAAAAGAACATCCTCCTCAGCACCAGAGCTCGGGTTTGTTCCATTGATTCTGTATATTGGTGAAACCCATGGCAGTAATATCTAATAATCTTATAATAACTAATAATTATAATATGTGGATGGGGTGTTACTAGCTTAGAGCTGAAGGTTGCATGTGCTCGGGGGATTCTCGTGGTTCTGCAGACTCAATAAGTAAGTAAGTAAGGTTTATTTATACAGCACATTTTACAGACCAAGGTCAACCAAAGAGCTTTACAAAATAAGAAAAAATCACGTGGACTACACAGACATTTTCCCCATAAAACTCAATGTAAACTAAAACAGCTCGACCTCAGCTGACAGAGAACCTGACAGAGAACCTACAGCTTTCACAAAGGAGGATTTTTTTTTTGTCGTCCTCCACTTTTTTTCTTCTTAAATCCTCCGGTTTTCTTTAAATCCACACTTTACTGCCAAAAACTCTGCTCGATCGTCTCCCGCTCTAGCTCCGCTCTGATTGGCCGAGCCCCTCTTGACACAGGCATGAGAGCCACACAAGCGTATTTGGCGCAAAGCATCATGGGAGCTCGTCCACTGCGCAGAACCAGGAGGACCAGAGATATGACCAAATATGGGCGAGTTCCTCTAATCTCTTGGTTCCTGTGTATGTCCCATGCACTACTGAGTACGAGCCACTGATCTGAACTGGCCGCCATCTTGGATCAGCATCTGAACCCTGAACATAATAAAGTGCTTTTGGTGACCTTGGTCTGTTAAAATGCACTGTATATTCCGTATTTTCCGGGTTATAAATCGCACTTGCCGAAAATGCATAATAAGGAAGGAGAATAACACACAGTATAAGTCGCCTTTTTTGGGCAAATTAATGTTATTGCTAAACCTAATAGCCCAGACATTTATAATAATATTCTATAGTTTCACACATAAGTCTTACCCCGGGCCAAACTATGACGAAAACTGTGACTTATTAAATACGATAAATAAAGAATATGTAAGTAATCTTTAGTAATCTTTATTTTATATACCGCCTTTTCACTGCACATCGGAGTCTCAAAGCGGTTTACAATTGTTATTTTTGCCAGTACAGGAGGCACATGCCAGACCTATTGTACATATTTTTAGTGGTAGGGGAAACCGGAGCACCCGGAGGAAACCTACGCAGACACGGGGAGAACATGCAAACTCCACTCAGAAAGGCCCTTAAGATACTTAAGATAAGATCAGAGCTGGATAAAATAGACTTTACATATTTACTTACTTACCCTAAGAAGGCAAAGAGGAGGATTTCCGACGGGTTGAAAGGGAACTTTGTCGAGAAGTTAGTTTTGAACAGAGTCTGGAGCGTCTCTTTGGTCACAAACAAACAAACAAACAACATTTTTTGTGAATCAAGCTTGAAAATCAGTAAAACTTCATTCTTTTGTCAGTGAAGAAAACTTCTAGAGCTTTAACACGGTCGAACAAAAAGAAGATATTTTGCAAGTTAGAAAAGCAGAAGAAGGAAGAATCCATTGCAGATTCACATAGACATACAGTAGATACAGCTTTGCGAAAGTATTCGGCCCCCTTGAACCTTTCAACATTTCGCCACATTTCAGGCTTCAAACATAAAGATATAAAATTTTAATTTTTTGTCATGAATCAACAACAAGTGGGACACAATCGTGAAGTGGAACGAGATTTATTGGATAATTTAAACTTTAAAAAAAAATAAAAAACTGAAAAGTGGGGCGTGCAATATTATTCGGCCCCTTTACTTTCAGTGCAGCAAACTCAGTCCAGAAGTTCAGTGAGGATCTTTGAATGATCCAATGTTGTCCTAAATGACTGATGATGATAAATAGAATGCACCTGTGTGTAATCAAGTCTCCGTATAAATGCACCTGCTCTTTGATAGTCTCAGGGTTCTGTTTAAAGCACAGAGAGAACCATGAAGACAAAGGAACACACCAGGCAGGTCCGAGATACTGTTGTGGAGAAGTTTAAAGCCGGATTTGGATACAAAAAAGATTTCCCAAGCTTTAAACATCTCAAGGAGCACTGTGCAAGCAATTATATTGAAATGGAAGGAGTATCAGACCACTGCAAATCTACCAAGACCCGGCCCCCTTGATAAATAGATAGATACAGTAGATAGATACAGAGATACATAGATAGATAGATAGATTTTCCGCCTCTACAGTGGAATCAAAAACAGTTGATAATGATGTGTTTATACCTTCCTCTCCGCTCCAGACTGAGTACAGCCTAAAGGTCAGAGCCCCACAGGCTGCAGCCAGGAAACAGGGCACGTAATGTCGGAGAGGGAAGAGAGAACACACCACCTCCATGCTGAACAACACACCTGTGAAGAGAGAACACACCACCTCCATGCTGAACAACACACCTGAAGAGAGAACACACCACCTCCATGCTGAACAACACACCTGTGAGGAGAGAACACACCACCTCCATGCTGAACAACACACCTGAAGAGAGAACACACCACCTCCATGCTGAACAACACACCTGTGAGGAGAGAACACACCACCTCCATGCTGAACAACACACCTGTGAAGAGAGAATACACCACCTCCATGCTGAACAACACACCTGTGAGGAGAGAACACACCACCTCCATGCTGAACAACACACCTGAAGAGAGAACACACCACCTCCATGCTGAACAACACACCTGTGAAGAGAGAACACACCACCTCCATGCTGAACAACACACCTGTGAAGAGAGAACACACCACCTCCATGCTGAACAACACACCTGAAGAGAGAACACACCACCTCCATGCTGAACAACACACCTGTGAAGAGAGAACACACCACCTCCATGCTGAACAACACACCTGTGAGGAGAGAACACACCACCTCCATGCTGAACAACACACCTGAAGAGAGAACACACCACCTCCATGCTGAACAACACACCTGAAGAGAGAACACACCACCTCCATGCTGAACAACACAACTGAAGAGAGAGAACACACCACCTCCATGCTGAACAACACACCTGTGAAGAGAGAACACACCACCTCCATGCTGAACAACACACCTGAAGAGAGAACACACCACCTCCATGCTGAACAACACACCTGAAGAGAGAACACACCACCTCCATGCTGAACAACACAACTGAAGAGAGAACACACCACCTCCATGCTGAACAACACACCTGTGAGGAGAGAACACACCACCTCCATGCTGAACAACACACCTGTGAAGAGAGAACACACCACCTCCATGCTGAACAACACACCTGAAGAGAGAACACACTACCTCCTTGCTGAACAACACACCTGGGGAGAGAACACACCACCTCCATGCTGAACAACACACCTGAAGAGAGAACACACTACCTCCATGCTGAACAACACACCTGTGAGGAGAGAACACACCACCTCCATGCTGAACAACACACCTGAAGAGAGAACACACCACCTCCATGCTGAACAACACACCTGTGAGGAGAGAACACACCACCTCCATGCTGAACAACACACCTGAAGAGAGAACACACCACCTCCATGCTGAACAACACACCTGTGAAGAGAGAATACACCACCTCCATGCTGAACAACACACTTGAAGAGAGAACACACCACCTCCATGCTGAACAACACAACTGAAGAGAGAACACACCACCTCCATGCTGAACAACACACCTGTGAAGAGAGAACACACCACCTCCATGCTGAACAACACACCTGAATAGAGAACACACCACCTCCATGCTGAACAACACACCTGTGAGGAGAGAACACACCACCTCCATGCTGAACAACACACCTGTGAGGAGAGAACACACCACCTCCATGCTGAACAACACACCTGAAGAGAGAACACACCACCTCCATGCTGAACAACACACCTGTGAGGAGAGAACACACCACCTCCATGCTGAACAACACACCTGTGAAGAGAGAATACACCACCTCCATGCTGAACAACACACCTGTGAGGAGAGAACACACCACCTCCATGCTGAACAACACACCTGTGAAGAGAGAACACACCACCTCCATGCTGAACAACACACCTGTGAGGAGAGAACACACCACCTCCATGCTGAACAACACACTTGAAGAGAGAACACACCACCTCCATGCTGAACAACACACCTGAAGAGAGAACACACTACCTCCATGCTGAACAACACACCTGTGAAGAGAGAATACACCACCTCCATGCTGAACAACACACCTGAAGAGAGAACACACTACCTCCTTGCTGAACAACACACCTGTGAGGAGAGAACACACCACCTCCATGCTGAACAACACACCTGTGAAGAGAGAATACACCACCTCCATGCTGAACAACACACCTGAAGAGAGAACACACTACCTCCTTGCTGAACAACACACCTGGGGAGAGAACACACCACCTCCATGCTGAACAACACACCTGAAGAGAGAACACACCACCTCCATGCTGAACAACACACCTGTGAGGAGAGAACACACCACCTCCATGCTGAACAACACACCTGAAGAGAGAACACACAATCAACACACAGTCCAGGGCAGGGGTGTCCAGTGGAAATAGCATTGAGTTTGTGTGTGTAAATGATTTAAACAGTGTATGTAGGTAAGTTTTAAAGATCTATCCATTCTGTTTTCTTCCTTTCTTCCCCATAATCCATTTCTGGGTCGGGGCACCAGTACCTATAGTAAGTGTCTCGCCAAAGTCCACAGCGACTAAAGTAGACTGGTCTAAAAAAATGCACTCGCTTCAGCATTGACACATGAGGAACGGACCAAGAACCACTTTTGGACCAAGAGCCACTTTTGGACCAACAACCACTTTTGGACCAAGAACCACTTTTGGACCAAGAACCAAGAGCCACTTTTGGACCAAGAACCACTTTTGGACCAAGAGCCACTTTTGGACCAAGAACCAAGAACCACTTTTGGACCAAGAACCACTTTTGGACCAAGAATCACTTTTGGACCATGAACCACTTTTGGACCATGAACCACTTTTGGACCAAGAACCACTTTTGGACCATGAACCACTTTTGGACCATGAACCACTTTTGGACCATGAACCACTTTTGGACCAAGAGCCACTTTTGGACCAAGAGCCACTTTTGGACCAAGAGCCACCTTTGGACCAAGAACCACTTTTGGACCAAGAACCACTTTTGGACCAAGAACCACTTTTGGACCAAGAACCACTTTTGGACCATGAACCACTTTTGGACCAAGAACCACTTTTGGACCAAGAACCACTTTAGGACCAAGAGCCACTTTTGGACCAAGAACCACTTTTGGACCAAGAACCACTTTTGGACCATGAACCACTTTTGGACCATGAACCACTTTTGGACCAAGAGTCACCTTTGGACCAAGAACCACCTTTGGACCAAGAACCACTTTTGGACCAAGAACCACTTTTGGACCATGAACCACTTTTGGACCAAGAACCACTTTTGGACCAAGAACCACTTTAGGACCAAGAACCACTTTAGGACCAAGAGCCACTTTTGGACCAAGAACCAAGAACCACTTTTGGACAAAGAGCCACTTGTGGACCAAGAATCAAGAACCACTTTTGGACCAAGAACCACTTTTGGACCATCCTGTAAAGCCGTTTTCGAGAGATTCTTATTCCGGGTCCTTCCCCACTGGCCCGGGGTGGTATTGCAAGCATTTCAGCGCATGTCATTTTGGTCATTTTTGAGCCGGGACCCGCCCCCACTGGTAAAGACATGCCTGGTCCAGGGAAAAATGCTAGCATAACAGCACTACAATCCATTTGCTAATCAATCAGTGTATTTTTATGTTAAGGGCCTCCCTGAGACCACCACAAAAGCCGAAGAAAGCCCAGGCGCAGACAGATGGAGATTGTTTTGAGGAGCATACAGAAGTGCAGAGCTCAAAGTGGACATGAAAGAACAGAAGAGAGAGAGAACATGTCAGATATGTAACAGATTAGACCACAGCGGTCAGGGCTGTACCACTGATGGGAGCTCCAAAACAACTGGCCACGCCCACCGCCGCCGACACCACCAACATCTGATCCCCAACATCTGCCTGGAACATAATGGAACAAATGATGGGACTAAGGTGTTATTAAACGGACAGAGGAAAAGGTAGTGAAAGATAAGGCAGAATCAAATGGTTTTTATTGGAAAATTAAAGGAGCAGTATGTAGAAATCTGGCCAAAAGTGGTACTGCAGCCTCTCCCACTCTCCCTGACTCAGGTTGCCAGATATGCAAACGAATCCAGCTGGGACCATAATGATTTATTCAGAAAACAAATGGATTCTGACCTTGTGTTGACCTTGAAGGAGACGGCACAGACGGCTGAGATACGACCCCATCATGGTGGACACGTGCACGAAGGGGCCCTGCAGGTCACACAGAAAACACTCAGATAAATATCTTAAATGAACATGATGCTCGGCCATTATTCAACAAACTGCATGTTACGGCTTATTTTGTTTGCTTTAGTGAAGTGTGAGAATGATTTCAGTGCTGTCCCTTTTACCTGAGTTAATTTTTATTATTATTATTAGCCTATTATTAGGCCTATTGTTTTTGCTCGAGAGATGTCAAATTCTGCACTTTGAGCCTTAATGTCACCCCCTGAACATGCATGAAAAGTTGTAAAATTTTGACCAAACATCAGACCTGGTGAAAAATTTGATATTTTGGTGTTTATTTTTATGGGACTCAAAAAATGCCAGAACAGCGCCACCTACAACAGCCAATGGGAGTTTCAGAGGTCAAGTTTGTCGTAGAGCCATGAAATTCGGTACACATGTTCCTCAAGTCAAGATACGACCGAAATGTTACCATGGCTCCGCCCTCTGACAAACAGGAGGCCCATAAATTTCACTGCAAAATGGAAAAATGATCCGCAATCATTTTCATACATGTCGGTTGGAAAGCGACTCCTCCTCGGCTGTTTCACCGATTTGCCTTAAAATGGCTCCACATCATCTCAACACATGTAACTTCAAAACGACCTAAAGGATTTTTGATCAGTGAAATGTTGTTTGAGCAGCGGAGCGGCAAAATGTGAGTGTTTATTAGCCGTTTTTCACAACATTCTATTTGCTCCCGTTTTGTGCAAAGTCTGATTTTCACAAAACTTGAATCCATTGTTCAACTCCAGGGTTTAGGTCAGTTGAAAGTGAAATATTTGAAAATAGCCCATTAGCGCCCCCTACAGATTGAGGCAAAGTTTACATGGGGTGCCAAAGAGCTCTAATCATCATATTCATTACAATTTGACTAACGTTCTTCTATGGCAACAGCAAGAAATCATCACACGGCGGCCCCACGGCGGTGCTGCGTGGTACGGTCTGGTGCGGCGTAGTGCGGGGCGTTGTGGAGCGGCGCGGGGCGGCATGGTGCGGGGCGGCATGGTGCGGAGCGGCTTGGTGCGGGGTGGTGCGCACGGTGCGGCGAGGGCCGTTCGACGCCGCTTGCGGCTTTGATTATTATTATTATTATTATTATATTATTATTATGTGTTTATTTGACAGGAACAGAACAAGAAGCATTGTTTCAGTAACCGAGGCCATGTTCATAGGCCATATAGCTAACAGCTAGTTTAGCATCGAGTATCTGCATCTTTCATGCTAACGGAGTCAAGCTAGCTGCTTTTTGTGGTAAGAGTAAACAGTACTTCTGCGGCGGCGAGCACGTTAGCAGCACGACTTTACAGTCACAGGAGAATGAGGCACGTGGAGGCACGTTCACAAGCACCGCGTCCCCCATTGTTATCTTGGTTTAGTCCTGGTTTAGTCCTGGTTTAGTCCTGGTTAATTCCTGGTTAATTCCTGGTTTAGTCCTGGTTTAGTCCTGGTTTAGTCCTGGTTCAGTCCTGGTATAGTCCTGGTTTAGTCCTGGTTCAGTCCTGGTTTAGTCCTGGTTTAGTCCTGGTTTAGTCCTGGTTAATTCCTGGTTAATTCCTGGTTTAGTCCTGGTTTATTCCTGGTTTATTCCTGGTTTAGTCCTGGTTCAATCCTGGTTTAGTGCTGGTTTAGTCCTGGTTCAGTCCTGGTTTAGTCCTGGTTCAGTCCTGGTTTAGTCCTGGTTCAGTCCTGGTTTAGTCCTGGTTCAGTCCTGGTTCAGTCCTGGTTTAGTCCTGGTTCAGTCCTGGTTTAGTCCTGGATTAGTCCTGGTTCAGTCCTGGTTCAGTCCTGGTTTAGTCCTGGATCAGTCCTGGTTCAGTCCTGGTTTAGTCCTGGTTCAGTCCTGGTTTAGTCCTGGTTTAGTCCTGGTTTAGTCCTGGTTCAGTCCTGGTTTAGTCCTGGTTAATTCCTGGTTAATTCCTGGTTTAGTCCTGGTTTATTCCTGGTTTAGTCCTGGTTCAATCCTGGTTTAGTCCTGGTTTAGTCCTGGTATAGTCCTGGTTTAGTCCTAGTTCAATCCTGGTTCAGTCCTGGTTTAGTCCTGGTTTAGTCCTGGTTTAGTCCTGGTTCAGTCCTGGTATAGTCCTGGTTTAGTCCTGGTTCAGTCCTGGTTTAGTCCTGGTTTAGTCCTGGTTCAGTCCTGGTTCAGTCCTGGTTTAGTCCTGGTTTAGTCCTGGTTCAGTCCTGGTTTAGTACTGGTTCAGTCCTGGTTTAGTCCTGGATTAGTCCTGGTTCAGTCCCGGTTCAGTCCTGGTTTAGTCCTGGATCAGTCCTGGTTCAGTCCTGGTTTAGTCCTGGTTCAGTCCTGGTTTAGTCCTGGTTTAGTCCTGGTTTAGTCCTGGTTCAGTCCTGGTTTAGTCCTGGTTAATTCCTGGTTAATTCCTGGTTTAGTCCTGGTTTATTCCTGGTTTAGTCCTGGTTCAATCCTGGTTTAGTCCTGGTTTAGTCCTGGTATAGTCCTGGTTCAGTCCTGGTTTAGTCCTGGTTAATTCCTGGTTAATTCCTGGTTTAGTCCTGGTTTATTCCTGGTTTATTCCTGGTTTAGTCCTGGTTCAATCCTGGTTTAGTCCTGGTTTAGTCCTGGTTCAGTCCTGGTTCGGTCCTGGTTTAGTCCTGGATCAGTCCTGGTTCAGTCCTGGGTTAGTCCAGATTCAGTCCTGGTTTAGTCCTGGTTCAGTCCTGGTTTAGTCCTGGTTAATTCCTGGTTAATTCCTGGTTTAGTCCTGGTTTATTCCTGGTTTAGTCCTGGTTCAATCCTGGTTTAGTCCTGGTTTAGTCCTGGTATAGTCCTGGTTTAGTCCTAGTTCAATCCTGGTTCAGTCCTGGTTTAGTCGTGGTTTAGTGCTGGTTCAGTCCTGGTTCAGTCCTGGTTCAGTCCTGGTTTAGTCCTGGTTTAGTCCTGGTTCAGTTCTGGTTTAGTCCTGGTTTAGTGCTGGTTCAGTCTTGGTTTAGTCCTGGTTTAGTCCTGGTTTAGTCCTGGTTTAGTCCTGGTTTAGTCCTGGTTTAGTCCTGGTTCAGTTCTGGTTTAGTCCTGGTTTAGTCCTGGTTCAGTTCTGGTTTAGTCCTGGTTTAGTCCTGGTTTAGTCCTGGTTCAGTCCTGGTTTAGTCCTGGTTCAGTCCTGGTTTAGTCCTGGATTAGTCCTGGTTCAGTCCCGGTTCAGTCCTGGTTTAGTCCTGGATCAGTCCTGGTTCAGTCCTGGTTTAGTCCTGGTTCAGTCCTGGTTTAGTCCTGGTTTAGTCCTGGTTTAGTCCTGGTTCAGTCCTGGTTTAGTCCTGGTTAATTCCTGGTTAATTCCTGGTTTAGTCCTGGTTTATTCCTGGTTTAGTCCTGGTTCAATCCTGGTTTAGTCCTGGTTTAGTCCTGGTATAGTCCTGGTTTAGTCCTAGTTCAATCCTGGTTCAGTCCTGGTTTAGTCGTGGTTTAGTCGTGGTTTAGTCCTGGTTTAGTCCTGGTTCAGTCCTGGTATAGTCCTGGTTTAGTCCTGGTTCAGTCCTGGTTTAGTCCTGGTTTAGTCCTGGTTCAGTCCTGGTTTAGTCCTGGTTAATTCCTGGTTAATTCCTGGTTTAGTCCTGGTTTATTCCTGGTTTATTCCTGGTTTAGTCCTGGTTCAATCCTGGTTTAGTCCTGGTTTAGTCCTGTTTCAGTCCTGGTTCGGTCCTGGTTTAGTCCTGGATCAGTCCTGGTTCAGTCCTGGGTTAGTCCAGATTCAGTCCTGGTTTAGTCCTGGTTCAGTCCTGGTTTAGTCCTGGTTAATTCCTGGTTAATTCCTGGTTTAGTCCTGGTTTATTCCTGGTTTAGTCCTGGTTCAATCCTGGTTTAGTCCTGGTTTAGTCCTGGTATAGTCCTGGTTTAGTCCTAGTTCAATCCTGGTTCAGTCCTGGTTTAGTCGTGGTTTAGTGCTGGTTCAGTCCTGGTTTAGTCCTGGTTTAGTCCTGGTTCAGTTCTGGTTTAGTCCTGGTTTAGTGCTGGTTCAGTCCTGGTTTAGTCCTGGTTTAGTCCTGGTTTATGTGACCCGCATTTCATTACCATGATTAACATGCTTAACTGAAACGGCTTTAAGCCAACTTCCCCCAAAAGCGCCCGTCTCTTTAACTATCAGCTGCGCGCATCTCCTCCCCCCTCCCGTCTCCGTTGTGGCTGCAGCATTGACAGACGGCATGTGAGAGTAGACTTGCTGAAACTCTCCAATCGCGCATTATTGACACTTCATAATTAGGTGAGTCTTTTGCCATGGCCGAAGAAGCCTAATCCTAAATGCATTTGTTTATAAGAGATCGCTAAGTACTGTTTTTGAGACGTTTTAGCATAGTCGCTAATGTGATGCCATTCTCCCATAGAGCCGCCATGTTCTTTTAAGTAGCGGGCCATGCATGGTGTGTCGTGTTTGCCCCAAGTTACTCAGGTAAACCCGCTCTTTTCCTTTTTATCAATAAGCCGTATTGTTAGGCAACTCTTTAGTTTAGGACATGTTTAACTGGATCTGTGGTCCCAATATGCTGTCTTACTTTTGCAGGCTCTTAAGGGCAGTCAGCATATTATTAATGGAGTTACTGTGCGCTCCAATGAGACGCGTCTGTGTGTTTATTGTTTGTTGCGCAACACTTTTATTTATCAACTCTGCTTGAGTATTATGACGTAAAACAGGATTACTGATCATTCATATTTTTAATGTCAATTATTGATGATTAGTGAAAGATATTTTAGTGCACTTCTACAACCTTGTTTAATGAGTTATTTTCGGTAGATCTGATGAACTAGTGTTCATACATTTAATTTTTCTGAGAAATCATGATTATTATTTATACTATTAATACTATGTGTATTAGTATTACAAATAGAATAACCTGTATAACAAAAAATGTTATACCAATCTTCTCCTTGTATAGCCTTAATGCAATGTTACTTATTTATGTTTTTGGCCTCAGGTCAGGTTTTTGTAATGGGATGGACTAACCCAATGAACTGAGCCTTTCTACACCACGAC